AAAAATTATTACAATTTTATTACAACAAATTATGACTGGCTTTTATTTATTTTGTTTTTTGTTAGATTAAAATATTTTTAAAACACGATAAAAGTCCAGATGGACTAATTTCATCATCACTCGATTCATAATAAAATGGTTGAGGTGGTTGAACCTCGATTGATTCATTATCAAGATCATCATCATTCAAATCGATCATTTCCCAATCTGCATCTATTGATTCGTCTGATCGATTATCATTATTATTTTGTTTTTTATATAGTGTTGGCGGTGGAGGTATTTCAACCACAGGACACTTTGATGTGGATTGTCCAACTTGTTTCGGATATGATGCAGGCAGAATTACGATATTGTTATCGTCGTCATATTCTTCTTCCGGTTCTGCAACCATATCGTATTTAGGATTGGTATAATTTCTGTTCAATAAGCAGAAATTGTTGTGTTCCACATTTGTTATAATTAAATCCCAATAAAAGCATGGGATTTGGCGATAAACCATTTCGAATAATGTTTTAACTTTAGCTTCATTGCTAAATTCGATAACATATTCGAATTTGATTGCATTGATAAGGATCGTTCGTCGATCCAATGAATGAATGTAATCAATTCCATTCAATGCAATTGATCGCTGTTGATATTTGTGATATTTTCGTTTAATTCCTATCACAAATGCATAATCTGACCCATCAGTTGGCCAGTCATGGAAAGGAATTGTATGGCGGAATTCTTCCTGCCAAAAATCCGATTCATGCATCAATCGAAATGCGCATTGATGCCAGGAATTTGATGGTTGATATTTACCATCACTTGGGACTAGAATGCTTTCCCAGAATTGTACAGTGTCAAATACTCGTTTGTTTGACATTTTTGTTTTGTAAGTTTTTGTTTTTTGAAAAAAAGATTCAATATTGCGAAGTGTGCTGGTAGTGTTCGCAAAAGGTATTTGATCTTAAGGAAAATATTGCCAAATATATACAATTTTCCTTGAAATCAACTTAAAAATTTTAATTAATAAATCGAATAATGAGAATAATTTTTATTAATGGTTATTGTTGATTTTTATTATAATGAAAAATACAGATAAAATTTTAAAAAACAATGAATGAGATTTACTTAATAGTTTGATTGCGACATATGATATCGCTGTTCTGGCGCCCAAAAATCAGATTCATGTACGAAATACAATGGACATTCAGTCCATGCATTTCGTGGTTCGTATCCTCCACTTGGCACACGTTGTTTTAAAGTCGATATAGTCGATCGTGAATCGGAAATCGGAAAACGGACAAAAGAACAGCGTGATATCTGATATACGATAGCTAGATGTCGCTAGCGTTCGAATTTCAGGATCGATATCAACACGACCATCATTCATTTGGCCCTGGTTATGATGATATATTTGTAAATTTTGTAACTGTTTAATTGATTTAAAACATTTAAAGTTTATTTCAAAACTTTCAATGATTTCTTCTTTTGTTTTGTTTTTAATGTTGCCACTTATTTTTTTCAATTTTTTAAATGTTTCGTTGACAAATTTTTCATCAAAGGCTGTCACCAATCCACATTTTACAAACGGTTTTTCGGTTGGTGGTGGTGGTGTAGGAGAAGGGGGACATATTTCGATGGTTGTAGTAAGTTTTGTTGATGATGATTTTTGTTTTAAATATGATAAAATTTAAAAAAAACAATGAATGAAATTTACTTAATAGTTTGATTGCGATTATGATAGCAAAATCGAATCCATCTTTCGGCCACATATGATAACGCTGTTCTGGCGCCCAAAAATCAGATTCATGTACGGTATACAATGGACATTCAGTCCATGCATTTCGTGGTTCGTATCCTCCGTTTTTCGAATTTTGGAGATGAGGCGTCTTCAATAGTTAGAAAACGACTGACTTTATTTTACTCATCAAACATGTGCTAGTGACTAGTGAGCTCTTCGCATACACTAGTACACTGCACATTTAATGCTTGTGGATATTGCAGTTTGTAGAGTATTTGCAAGTTGTAGAATTTATTTGAAAAATTGATTCGATATTTTTGAATTAAACAAATCAATAATAATTTTTATTGCAGTTTTTTCAGACAAAATTGAATCTTGATTCGTTGTATAGTCGATCGTGAATCGGAAATCGGAAAACGGACAGAAGAACAACGTGATATCCGATATAATATCGCTAGATGTCGCTCGGGTTTGAATTTCAGGGTCTCTGTTCAGAAACAATCAATTGAATTGAATCATTAAAAAAATCATATTCAGAGATGGTTGTTATTTCTACAAAATAAAAACGAATTTTTTGTTTTAGGGTTTTTTTGTAATTTATTGTCACGAAAATCACGAAGTACAATACTTCAATCATTTTGTGGAATGACGTTGTATCACTCTGACCCATGGCTGCAACTGCATTAAATTCAGGTGAACCAGAAGGTAACGATGTTTCGACATGTCCATCTGTTCACTCGTGCCACACATTGAAAATATTTATCATACGAAATGGGGGTCCCTGGTAGAATTTTTCTATACCATGAAAAATACCATTCAAATTTAATTATTAATAAATTTTTCAAGCCAATCAACCTGCAAACATCCTATTGGATGATGCACAATTAATGGAACAGTCGTTCAATTAATCAGTAAAGCACCACAATATCAATTTTTATTTTAAAATTTAAAAAAATCATATTATTAGAGTTTTAAATAGTTAGGCAGTTCTAAAACTGTTTTTTAAGAAGAAAAATTCTGCCAGGGAGTTAATAATTCGACGAAATATCCCCATTTTTTGTTTTTCTTCTTTTTCTGTTGGCTCTGGTTCTGCTTTAGGTGTCTTCAGATTGCGACGTGGACGCAGCCACAGTCGCAATGGCTGACTTGAATCTTCATTGATCAGACATAAACGTTTCCTTTTGGGAACGTTTATGATTGGATCCCATTTAAAAGATGGGACTTGCTTGTTTATTTGAGCCATGAATGTTAGAATTTTTTTATAATTTGTAAATCTGATAATAAATTCAATTTTTTCACGCCCATCAGCATGAAAAATAATTTTTTTATGACCCACTGAGTTTAACATTATTATACTTGCCAGTGGAATTCTTTTAATATGCATAGTAAATATGGTGCTACCAATTATTTTTTCTTCAAATCGTAACATGATATAAAATTCTGAATTATTATTTGCCCTGTCTTTTTCTTCAATCAAATTTAATTTGCAATAAATCCATTTATTGGTTGGAATATATGTGTCATAACGACCATAGGGCACTCGTTTACTTAGACACAATTGAACATTATCGAAAGCGCGAAGATTTATAATTTCAACTATTGAGAACGATTCCATTTTGTATTGAGATGAGTTTTATCTGCTGAAAAGTTGTAATTGTGGAATTTATCAATAAATTTTGATTCAATATTTTACTAATAAATCTTGATTCAATATTTTACTGATAAATTGGAGTGTTTCGGTGACTCAATTATAAGGAAAACATTGACAAATTTATACAATTTTTCAATCAATTGTTTTAATATTTTCCAATTAGATTAAGTAATTGTTTTAATTAATTGAAATTTTTTTTTATTAATTTCTTTCTGAGCCGAATCAACAAATGAAACAAAATATTTAGAAGAATTTAAAAGAACCAAGAATATGAAATTTATAGTTGAATAATAATAATAATAATAATTTTTAGCTTAATCATCAGTAATTATTGTATTTATTTTCACACTTATTTTGATTCTGTTATTGTAGAAATTTAAAGAATAAATTTACAAGTTTTCAAGTATTAACTTGGTCAGCTCTATATCATTCTGCTCCAGATGATGGCTAATTTGGTGATTAAAATCTGAAATGGTTCTGCTAGTTTTCAAGTATTAAAATACCAGTAGTTGAATGACCTAAATTATCACGTGCGAAATCTGCATCTGTGAAATTATTACGATCGTCTGTTCAATCTTTATAATTAATATTTTGGTATACTGTTGGTGCTATGTTTTCCAATAACAATTTTGACCATAAAAACAAAACGATTCTTTTGTCTAATAAATCACCAGTCCAGCTAGCCATCTGCCTATATGCCGCTGAAGGTCGTTGTCCAAAATCCAATGATGACTTTGATAATACTTTATGCATCCTTTCTTCTTCATTAGGTTTATACGTGAATAAAATAAAATAATGGTAATAATAAAAGAATAGAATTGGGTTAGTGATAACCCAAAATACTAACTTATTCGGGTTGGTACTAACCTTACTACCTTTATTATGGTCGTTGTTTATTATTTGCAAACAATTGGCCATCAATGAAAGGAAATTCAATGTCAATTTCCACTCGTCCATTATTCATTTGGCTCATGTTTTTATGATATAATTGCAATTTTTGCAATTGTTTTATCGATTCGAAACATTTTAAGTGGATTTCAAAACATTCAATGATTTCTTCTTTTGTTTCGTTTTTTAAGTTACCACTTATTTTTTTCAATTTTTTAAATGTTTCGTGGACAAATTTTTCATCGAACGCAGTTGAAGAAAAACGATAAACACAATCGAAGATTTAGAAAATATTTTATTAAACAAAATTAACACAAATCAAAAAATGAGAACGAGTGTAACATTTGAAAATATCAAATGAAAGCTTTTTTCCATGACAAATTATATATGATTTAGTATTTGCTTTTCGATTTCTTTTTTGTTTTGTTTATGGTTATGTCTTTTTTCCTGGAAAATCAATGGAAAAGGAAATGTGAATCAAGTATGTGTTTAGTCTTTTTTCCAATAGGTGGTAGCACTTTTTCCAATAGAGTTTTATAAAAGCAATAAGAATCAAGAGAATAGCCAGATTGAAAGACAATAGATGGCGCTCAAAATGCCGATCGAACAAATAAAATTAATGTGGCCGCACGACCAAATTCGTTCGATTTGTTTGTTTTGAGGGATTTGGAACTTTTTAAAGTGGTTGTTGTGAAACTAAATCAATTAACGTTTTTGTGGCTTACTGTTGATATAAATCAACAATGATGAGGATCATCATAACCATCATCTATTGTAAAGATGCATTGACCTACAACGACTTGGATGATCATCGACCATAATGGATTGTGTCCAAACAAAACGATGTTTACATATCGATCAAATTCAATCAATCTATTCGATCGCTAATGATGTGTTTGTCCAACTAACACTTTCGCTGCTGTTGCAAATGAGCCGATAAAACGGGAGCCATAAAAAATGAATAAAAATAATCGGTATGTGCGAAACACGTCCAGAGAATTATGATGATTTGTTTTTCTCCGAAAGCAGAGATTTCCGGATTATGATTTAGATGAATGAATTTGGAGTTTTGTTCGGAATTGAGATCAGGAATCGGACGAATAATATGTAATTAATTATTTAAATGATGTAGCAAACGATGGGGCCATTGCACTTTGATTACTACGCTACTTTTACTACTGCTGCTGCTGCTGTCAGTGGAGAATAATAAATTTCGATCGAAACTTGAGTGAAAAAATGGTAACTTTATTACAAAATGAATGGATTTTCACCGCACAATCAAGCAAGTTTTCCAAATGAAAATGTATTATATATTTACAAAATAATGTGCATTGTTTTATTATGACAGCAGTGATGATTATGGTAATGGTGGAATGGAATAAATATCACAACAAAATGAAATGATCAAAACTTTTGTTTTTCAGAAATAAACAGTCAAATCGGGTAATGCAGTTGGATCGTTTGTTGGCTGAGATTTCGAAATTGATTTGTCCATGATGGAGGCCAATGATGTGACGCTGGTAGTCACCGGATAATGTGGTGTTTGATGATGGCGAATAACGGTGGTGTTATTATTGTTGGCAGTCGTCGTCGAAGAAGGAGTCATCAATGCAGAACTACCGTTACTGCTATTGCTACCCGTATGACTATGATGATAATGTTGTTGCTGTTGTAGATGATAATGACCGTGTCCATTAAGCAATGGTGGTAATGGTGCAGGCGATATCGTTGTGGTCGTTGTACCGGTCAACAAATGACCGCTTAATGTTTTGGTTTTGGTTGCTGTTGTCGTGGTCGGTTTGATGGGCGTTGGTGGTGGTGCCTTGACAATGGAATTACTTGTATACAATTGATCCAGATGATTATTACGCTGTTCATCTTTCCAGGTTAATTTTTTGACTCTTCGTGGTATCGAACCTTGTGGCCAACGAATAACACTAATTCTCGAAGCGACTGTTCCATTCGATTCGTCAGCATTCGAATGGCTAGTGGAATTGGCATTGGCAATGGCCGTCACGTTGACATTCGAATCCGAATTGATCAAATGATGGTCAGTTTGAGTGACAATTTTATGATGACTATCCGACCAACAAGAAAGATCAGATGAAATAGCACTATCTGGTTGTTCGATTGAACTGTTACTGTTATTGTTTGGTACGTTTGCAGATGGTCGTTTCAATGGACTAAGATTATCCAACAATTTTTTCGTCTTACTATCGATATCATCGATATTGTTGTTGTCGGTGATGGGCGATGAAGACAATCGATTCATTATCGAATCAGAAGGAACAATTTTATTCGAACGGAGCATGGCAACTGCAGCAGTGGTCGGTTGGAATAATGTTGATCCTTGAGCTGAATATAATAATCGTTTAGGTGAGTGTTGATGATGATTATTGTGATTATGATGATGATGATGCGAATGTGCACTGTTATTCATAGCACCGGATAACGATAATTCCGATGATGATGATGCGCTGGACGTTGTTGAAGAAGCCGAAGAACTATGGTGATGGTGATGACGTTGATGAGGATGTAATGATGATGTAATTGGCGAACAATGATGATGACTATTGGCGGCAGCCGATGATGAACTTCGTCGTGATGATTCAAATTTACGATTTTTTAATACGTGCAATGTAAGTGCAACGATTATGATGAACAGCGTTCCTAACAAAACACCTAAAACGATGACCAAAACCAATGCCGATGAATTGGTGGAAGCGGAAAATATATTCGCTGCTGAATGCTGAAGAATGTCGACAGCAGTCGGCGATGATGGTGAAAGATCAAATTGAGCAGTTTGCTGTTCCAATTCGAACAGTAATGATTCTAATGTTCGACCGGCCAATGATTTCAACAATGCTGGTGCAAATTTAACCACCACTGAGGCTGATGAACTACGCGGCGGTTGACCACTATCAGTGGCGGTCACAATCATATGACATTCAGTTTGATTAACACGGCGAAGACTTCGAAGTCTTAGTGTACCATCGATCGACAAGGCAAATGCACCGGCATGTGGTCCAGACAATGTCAATTGGATACGGTCACCATCATCAGCATCGGTAGCTTGAATTTGACCAATCACTGGTGACGATCGAAGACGAGCTTCGTTAACATGAAACACATAATTGGATTGGCCGAAAATAGGATCATGTTCATTAACATTGATTATATCGATAGTGATACGTGCCAAATCGGTTTGTCGTCCATCACTGACCATAACACGAAACGAATATCGATGATGTTTTTCATAATCGACCATTCGCTGTACGACAATTTCGCCAGTGTTTTTGATTGAAAAATAGTTATCATCATCATCCAAAATCTGAAATCGTAATGGCTGAGCACTGGCACCGGCTGATGGTTGGCTAATCTGTACGGTCAATGCAACCTGACCGGGTGGAGTACTTTCCAGCAACGAAGTGGAATAGTTACTATGCAAAAAACGTAATTCAGGCATCATTTGATTACGTTTGCTCATAATGGTCAATGTAGTTAGTGCATAACGATCACGGTTGTCTAGTTGAGTAGCACGTATAACCAATGTAATTGGTAAGGAAACTGATGAATGCAATGGTCGTTTCAAACTAACTTGGCCAGTTTGTGAATCAATTTTGAAATAAGTGTTTTCCCGACTATCTTCATCTTTGGAATTGAATTCATACACAATCGGTGATCGTATTGCTCGGTCTGGATCTTCAGCACGGATCGGTTTTGGTTTGACCTGTAATGGATGACCAATGGCTTGTCCTTCGGCCAATATAGCCGTATATTTGTCCATTTCGAAACGAGGATTCTGATCATCAGCATCGATTAGCTGTATGTTGACCGTTGTTATGGCCGTATTGGGTGGATTACCTTGATCCTGTGCACGAATTGATACCCAAAACTTGGGTAATGTTTCATAATCAAGTTGACCGGCCAGAATTAATGTTCCTTCTAGTGGTGAACTAAATCGAACCAAATGTGAATAGGGACCTGGTTCAACATAATACTCAACCGTAGAGTATGGACCAAGTTGATCATTATCGATAGCTTTGATGCCAGTCATTACTACCGAACCTATCGTAGCCATTTCACTGATATTAACCGAGTATGGAATTTGACCTTGCCATTCTGGCTTGTTATCATTAGCGTCGGTAACTAGAATCCTAATCGGTATGATAATATCTTCATCGCCATCGGCAGAATCTGTTCGATAAGTCCAATATGATGTGTCATGGTGATCCGTTGCTGATTCATCGGCTGCAATACGTTTTTCAACACGATTCGAACTTGACGAGGATTCATTTTGATGATCATCATTCGGCGATAATTTCCTGGCAGATTTTTGTTGTTGTTTTGGTCGACATCGAACACCGATCGTAACACTGGATTCCCCTTCAACGCTTTCTTTATCCAATTTTCGAACAAGAATTAATTTTTTTGTGCCAGGTTCGATACGGATTGGAATCTCTGGTGGTTGATCAGGTGTGATGGTGGTCGAATTATTGTTATCATCAACATTGTTATTGCCTATTATGAACAAATCGATATCACCATTTTCGGTAGCATCACCAATCACCTAGGATTGAAGAGAAAAACAAATTAAAAAAAGGTAATTAGTCAAGTGATTCATTAAAGCAAACAAACGAAAAATCAGTTCTCATTTTGATCAGGTTCTCATGACCTAGACCTCCTCGAATCAAGGAATGAATGGATGGATGGATAAGGTTGAACGAACAAATCAATCAATCTCTCAAATAATGTTTGTTTTTGTTTGTTATGGTTGGGTTATATGATTAGAACCTGACGATGATGATGATGATGTTAATGAAGCATAGCTAAACCCTTCATCATCACCATCATCTTTCTGTATTTGTATCCAGGTAAATAAGTAAATATAAGTAGATATACTGCATTGCTTTCGACGATAATCATCATTCATCAAGCAAAACGAAAAAACGGTGTCCTTTAATAATGATAATAATAAATTGAACGGCCAGTAGTGTGACGAGCGAAACAAACGTTTTCATGGCTCAATGATAATGATGGGGCTAGTTTCGAAGATTCAAAGCTATCTGAAGAAGTTTGCGAATTTGCAATGACAATTCAATGAACGAATACAGAAATGACCTCTTTGTTCACTATCAATACGACTGAAGGCAGCAGCGAGGGTCCAATTGATGATGGTGATGAGATGATCATCGATTGTGACTAAATTCGGAATCAAGTTGCAAGTTGAAAAACAATGGACTCACACACTATAAGGTGTGATAATCATGTCGTGTCGTCGATGCGTTTGCGTGTTGTCATCGTGTGTTGGGTAATTTTATTCCCAAACAACAAACATCATCATTGTCAATCATCATCATAATCATAATCATCATCAGATTCAAGCTTTCCAAACTTGAATTTTTCGTCCATTCCGTGTCCATCATTTGATTTTCATTGAAGAAAAAAAAATTCGTGAAATTTGATTCAATTTTGTGCCTTGTTTGCTGTGTGGGCAAATTGAAGATTTTTTCAATTTAATATTTTTCTTCTCTTGTCCATCATTGTGATGATGACGATGATGATGAGAGAAACGAAAGACAAACGAGTCTAATTCAATTTGAACATACGATTTTCCATCATGATGGGAGCTGAGAAAAAAGTGGAACAATTTCATTCAATCATTTCAGTGAATTTCAAGACGACAAACGATGATGATGATGATGATGATGATGATGATGAGTGAGCAAATTGATTGAAGTTAGTTTAAACAGACCACACCGGTCAGTCATCAGTAGATTGATCGAGCATAACGAATTCAATAAATAATATAATAATAACCGGATGATTGTCGTCGTGATTTACCGGCGGTTGGCCAGCCAAATCAATTGACCATCGAATCAAATGATCGGACATTATTGATTTTGTTTCGCAACATTGATTTTCAATCCACATTCATTCATTCACAACAACAAGAATCAAAGAGATTTGCTCGAACAAACACTGTTATAGGATGCCCTAGTTTCTCCATTTCCTCTCATTTTTCGCCCGAAAAACAAACAATTACACAGTCCGGTTTATGTGATTGTTTAGGCCCTAAATAAACCAATTAACCCGAACAATCGTAGTTTCCCAATTGATTTCGTCGGATTGATTCATTCAATGTATGTTTGGGGCGAATCTGACTCGCAAAATAAATTATTAATTATGGTAATCATAGGGATTTTTGTTGTTGATTCATAAATGATAATCATAACAAAAAGAGTTCAGGAGCCCACCATTCCAAAACACAATGCTTCAACAAAATCAGGGAGAGGGCCACACACGCATGATGAACATTGTTGGATTGGATTGGATCGAGAACCAAAGTGGTGGTGGCCAATGGCCAAGTGATGATTTATTTATCCATAATGGTTATGATTGTAATATGGTCATAATAATAATAGTAATAATCATTATGATCATCGGCCATCATCATCATCATCATCGTTTGTTCGAACAAGCAAAGTGAACGTTTATCACTGCTGCCTGCCATTCAATTGTTCTCCACACTTTTTCTCATTCAGTCAATGAATGGATGGAGTGAATGAATTGTATGTCTTTTTTCTAAATTGAAAAAAGGATCCATTGTTGTTGTTGAATGGTTGTTGTTGTTGTTGAGATGAATGGATTGTTGTTAACCTTTTTCATTGATGATGATCATCATCACTATTTTAGACGACCATTTTGTTATTTTGCGATTACACAACGGCTATTGTTGAGGGTAATCATTGATGATGATGATGATTACCTACTACTGTTGATCTCAGGATTCAAACATTCAATTCAATTCATTTAGCAATGACCATTTTTTGATGGAATAATCATTATCACGACAAACATGCATATTGATTACCTATAGTGTTGACCCATTTGTGCTGTGTTCGATTGTCGTCCATCTTTGCTACTTTTTCAATAATCAATTTTGGTCATTGAATTGGAATGGATGCAAATTGTAATTTGTCAATCGATCGATAGCGATGACCTGTTATCTGTGTCATGTGTTATCGATCCATTTGATATTTGCCAAAGTAATGGTCTCCTCATCATCGATACATAATCGGATCATTTTTTGTGGAGAACCATGAATCCGGTTATAAAAAAGAATTAAGAAATAAAAATAAATAAAAATTGAATGATGATCCTATTAGAGGAGATTCATTCGGCCAATCAGGATGATGATGATGAATAATGATTGTTTGGATGGTCATTAGGAAATGGTTTGACTTTATTCTTAAGTCAGCCATTTGGCCGACCATCGATCAAGATCGGACAAAAAATCGAGCAAAATGAACAAAAGGCCAACTAATGGTGATGCTAATATTTGTTGTGATTAATGGACAACCAAAACAAACAAACAATGACACTAACATGGAGGTCGTTTGCAATAAACTAGAGCAACTTATCGACTTGATGACAACAGTGAAGCAATGTCATCACATCCTGTTCTCCAGGTTAACATGACCCAATTGACATCAACATTGTTGGATCCACACAGAATAAACAAACCAAACCAAATCAAACAGACAAAATTTGGGTAGCCATAGGCGCTCCACATAATGATAACCGAATGATCATTAGAGTTAGCTAGGAAAAACATACAGACAGTTTTCACTTTGATTTCGCTTGAAAAAAATCGAAAATGGAAAATCGAGAAAAAAACTTTTTCAATTATCAATCAAACATCATCACTATACACTGAATGATCATTCATTCATCATCATTTCCCAAAAAAAGCTATAATTATCTCAATGAATGGATTTGAAGTAAAGTTTAGTCTATGGAGATATCGATATATGTTGTTTTTTTCATTCTTTCTTTGATTCGGTGAACAAATTGTCATCATGGTGGATGCGGATGACAAAATAATCATATAACATGAATGGTGGATATAAATAAATTGAGTAACCAATATAGGTTAGATTGACACAATGCTCGCCAGTTTAGGTTAGGTTAGGTTATCTAATGATGATGATGATGCTGAATGGATTGTATGATTGATAATGGACAGTGGATAGTGATCATGCTACCTGACTGATTGATTGATTGAAGATAATAATAACCACCAACCACTGATAGTGAATGGACGATGATGATCACAGTTATTGAATCGATCGATTGGAATTGAATTGATTTTTGATCAATAATAATAATATTTCATTATGAATGATGCTATTATTATATATTTTATTATTAATATTATTAATATCCATTCTCCAGTGCCATCATCTTTTTTTTGCCCAATCCATTCAATGGAATCTGGCCAACTAAACAACAGCGTGACCCATTCACTACCAACATCTGATGTAATGTGATGTCAATTAGATTGCCACCATCATTTTATTATTATCATCATCATTCACAATGATGCAAGGTAGCTCTGGCCATTTCAATTATGGGCAACAACAGTTTCAACAGTGGAGTGAAATGTTAAATGAAATTCGCCTGATTGCATTAAATCGATCGACGACAATCTCAATAATTGATTGAACGGACATTTTCGGATGGCCATTTTTTGGATGTGTTTTCGGGCCATCAAATCAACAAAAATCGTGTGAACGTGATAAATGGATCGGCACTCGCGAATAACGAGAGCAATTTTCTGTTGTTGGTTCGTGTGTGATCAGTGATCACGGTAACGCGTGCATCACCAATCATCCATCCAATGATGATGATGAATGTATTGCAAATGATCATTTTTACACTTTCGATTTAGACTCACAAAGAAAATATGAAAACTGATAAAATCATCCAATCAATATGACATCACGTTGTCCAGCAAATTAACTAGGTAATTATCATTTAGATTGCCCCTTTTAAAAACACTTTTCAGGATAACGGAATCTAGATAATGAACGATGAATGTTGTTTGGAAGCCACCCGGAAGATTCGATTCCAAACAACAACAAACGATGATTGTTATCATCCAATGATGGCAAACTACAAACCATAATACTGCCATATTAAAATCCCTAAGACAATCCGTTTTCTCTCCCTCCATGTTTTTGGCAATGGCTAAATATAGAGAAAATGAGGATGGCATAGAAATGCAGTTCCACATTGATTTGATGATGATGATGGTGTGAATCAATCAAATACAATCGAAATCGAATGCATTTTTCATTTCTTTTTTTTTCGTTTGTCATAGATCCATGGGTATAATATGGCCATATTGGTCACTATAATCGGACCGGTTCGAATCGAACCAATAATTTGCCTCACTGCCTTGGCATTCAACACTTGCATGTATGGCTGCATTTGATGATGGACATTATCCCGAACCATCACGATCGCCGCAGCACACATTTTGGTATGGAAGGGGCTAAGTATAGCCAGAGAGATAATCACCGTTTTCATCTTTTTTTCGCATCATCATTTCATTTTCTCATTGCATTGCACTCTCACCAATCATCATCATTTTGTTTTTCAACTGACCGAATCACGAATTGTCATTTTTGAGTTTTAGTTTTCATGACTTTCTTTTTAAATTGAATTTTCACCTCTCTCTTTCTCTCAGTCGTTGGTTTTGTTATCTCTGTGTGTGTAATTACAGCTGATTACTTGACTTGACTCGAAAGAAAATAAAATGATGTGCACGATCCTCATTAGTTAGTTGTGTTTTTAGCTGCACAAAATGAGTTATGATCATATCGATCTGCTATAACTGGCTAATGTTATGATTGCTTCGTCAATTTTATCGTCATTGATGAAAGCGAAAATGATGATTAAGGCAAACTGATGATGATGAACATGGCCAATCTAATCGTCTAATCTGAAACGGATATAAATAACATTCATATGTCACAGACTATTATCTATTGAACACATTCATCCATTGATTGATTTGATTTGGATGACATTATTTTGATTTTTATTGTTTCTTTTCGGTGGAAACAGACAGATAAGGCCATTGTGTTGATTCATTCATTCGAAAATTCAATTTGGCTACAACTGAATCGAATTGAACTGCACAACAACGATCGCAATGAAGCGATTCGGTCGGTACCAGTAGTGATGAATGTGAGTATGATGAATGTATAATGGAATGGTTAGTTGGACAAAAAATAGATCACCATCTTATCTCATGTCGAAGTGATTACCTTTTCTTTTTGCTACATAATTCACTTATCATCATCACCACCACCACCATAGCACAATAGGCAACCAAAAAATATCTGTTAATTAAACTTTTCAAGTTTGGTTTGCTTCTTTTACTTGGTTGCTCGGGTTATTGAATTAAATTAAATCAATCGATTCATCGAACCGAGTCATCTCACCTCACCTCGGAGAGACTGGATGGATCTTTATTCATTGATTTGTTTAGTATGCAAGACACGATTGGATTGCAGGCAGGCCACCTGCTCGACTACATTGCATAAAACAATTGTCCATTTTGGTTTTTCATTTTCGATTTTTGGGATTTGATTTTCACAATCATCCAGCTAATCGGTTAAATCAATAACCAAAAGCACAATCTTTCAGGATGATTTTGTTGTTGTTGTTTTGCTTCAATCAAAATCCGAATGGTAAACATGCTTGGATGAATGGATGGATGGATGGAATGGCGCGATGCCCTGATCATTGGTCTGGTGAATAAGATTTTTGTTGTTCTCTTCTCAAGTGAAGTTAGTGCTTGATTTTTGTTGTTCTACCATATTTAAATCAAGACATTCTTGCAATGTTCAATTAAGTTGACTGATTGACTGACTGTAAGGGACGACTTTTTAATTAAAATGTCGAGCAAACCAAAAACAATCGATGATTGTTTTTGTTGTTACAGGTTTAGGTGACAGCGACAAAAGGTGCATGGCAGAACAGGTGAACCAGATTGTTGCCAAATTGACTATATTTTTGTTTCTTTGCTAAAAATATTTAACCATTTCATCAGGCAAAAGGAAGAATAATGTCATCCAAATGGATGATCAATCAATGACTGAACTGAGCAGAGCAGATGATCGGGATCACTGTCAATCAGATTTGCTTTAATTGATTTTGTTTGGATTGATGTTTTTGCTGGGTTTAAGACAGCAGATCAATGGCCGGCCAAGACAATGGGCTACTTGAATTACATTTCGATGCAATTAATTCACAATAGCCAACATATCCATTCATCTATTGTGTGTGTGCTCTAATTTCATCATCATCCAACAACAATCAAATCAATTAATCAACAACGAATAGCCATCTGGCGCCATAAAGTCTGCTGCTGCCAGAGTTGATAATAATGATGGTAAACATCATAATGGTAGCCATGAATAATGCAAAAAAGACAATCACCCCAGAGTGTAGGAGTGCAACATGGCAGCAAGGCAACAGCCATTATGGCCGTTATTTGGATCCAGCTGGCCATTATGGCCATTATTGGGATTAATTGCTCCTTTGTTTGTGTTTCTCTCTTCAAATGAATCTCGTAGTAAATTTGGGCCACCATTTCTCTTATGACTTCTGTGTTCAGGGTCCAAAGGGAAAAAATGCTGTTTATTTGTTTTGCTTATTGCAACACTTATATTTTGTTGGATTATCCCATTAACACTGTTTTGAAAACAAAATCAGGAACAACAAATCTTTCCGGCAAAACGACAAAACAAGTGTGTTTGTAAAGCCATTAAATTGACAATTATCATCATCAGAGAGAACAAAAAGAGAGCTGTCCATTTCAGTGTCCATTTTTATGTCCGGATACATTGATAGTGGATCGTGAATTTTGTTGGAAAAGATGTTTGGTCGGTGCTAGCTAGCCACAAACATTGATTGATTGAACACCCACACACAGCTATAGCCTAGCTGGTTGACTGTTGGATTGGATTTTTTTGGGCAAACATTAGTTGATAGTCATTTAAAAGTCAATTAAGAAAGGATGAATGAAATGGATGGATGTTTTTTGTATAATGATGAATAGATCAAATCAATCACAGAGCAATGCAATGACCACAATCCAACCAACAAGTATATAATCCATCCATCCATCAATTTTTTGCAAATGGATTGAATGCACAATTATTAATTGGATTCCAATCTGGGCGCCATTCTCTGTGCCACCGTGCGCATTGCAAAAAACAATCATCGATCACTGCCCCCCTTTTCATTATGCTATCGTGTGGGCAGTGTGTGATTAGCAATGCAATCTAGCCCAGGCTATGAGCGATTCGCAATGACCAAATGACGACAGTGAAAGCAATAAAGCACCGTTTCAAGTTTTCGTTTCGATTCAATTCGATCGATTTGATTGATTATTGATGACTGACAGTGCGAGAGGTGAGAACATTGCATTCACTGACCGATTTCGGATTCGGATTTGGAAAATAGCAAAACCATTTTTGGCCATTTTAATTGCTAATGCAGTGAATAGTGATGATGATGGAATGATAAATATCGAAGAAAATATTTATGAATTATTCGATTAGGCGTCATATGGCGATTTGGCCCAATCAAAAACTGACTGAGAATGACTTGACTGAGTGATGTATAGTATCTTACCTTGATGGTGCCGATGACAGAATTGATGGGCATTGCTTCATTCACTGTGAATGTTTCGGATGATCCACCATGTGATAGAAAACAAAGATTTCCACCACCGTCACCACTAACATTATCACTTGGTGTCGTTGTTTCACTAATGTTCGATTGAATGGTCGTAGATGATATTTGCAGTGATTTACCTTGTCGATGACTAGATGATGATATTGTAGATGATAATGTCGGTGGCGTAATGGTAGTTGTGGTCAGTGTTTGATTGGAATTAGAATCCAGAACTTGAATAAGCGATGTGGATGGTTTCTGAAGTAAACCATTCAACATGACTTGCTGTTGTTTGACATTGCTGGTGCTGTCATTCTGTTGTAATACTGGCCGACTGGTCAAACGGACAGTCGAATCGAATGTAGCGGATTGTATCGAAATGGGAGTCACTTTGGCTACACCTTTTGCATTTTTATTACGGATTCGATTGGGCGCCATCATCGATGTTCGCGAATTGGAATGACTATGATGATGATGATTGACCATGGAACGATATGGATTAGTTCGAATCGATATAGGCAATGATGATTGATGATGAGCATTAGCGGCCGTGGTGGTGGTGGTGGCCGGTGCATAATATAAACGACGAACGATAGCCGCTGTTGGGGAATGCTGAGTTTGTGGTTGGCCATGATGCATATGGCCAATCAAAGATGGTGGCGTCGATTGCGTAACAGCAGCGGATAAATGTTGCTGATTTTGATGATTGAACGCAATGGAAATAGTCGGATGAAACATAAACATTAATAACAAACAGAAGAACAGGTGTATGATGTTGGTGGTGATGGAAGAAAGTAACGTGAATGGAACACGACGCCGATGACCAATGGCCTTGTCACTATCGCTTTTACTGTTGCTCTGCTCAACAACTAAACTGCTGCTGTTATTGAAGCAGATGTGTTGTGGTAAAGATAGTGATGGCCAACAATATTCATCATCATCATCATCAGATTCGTGATGATAATTTGGAAGATGAGGATGGCCAAGATAATGAAGATGATGCCGTATGTCGTTTTCGACAATTTGACAATCATCATCACTATAGCCGGCCATTATAGTGATAGTTTTGTGTTGTTTCATTTTGGAATATTTGATCTAATTTTGATGTGATGGCCAACAACATTCGGCCAGCAACCATAGACGAACTATTCAACAAAACAATCAAACAAATTTCTCAGTGTGATGTTGGTTTGGTTTGGAGCACACACACACACACACCAAAGTCACATCAAAGATTGTGATTGAATTAAGCAAAGTGATGTTTTGTTATGCAAATCATCATCACATTATATCAAGTTTTTGTCGCATTCAAAACAACTAAACACAATGCACACACACAGATATTACATATTACAAACTTGAAGACATCACAATCAACGAAAAGCCATTGTTTTCATTATTATTATGCCAAATTGGCCAACTAGCTAAGACGACGATGATGATGACAACAAAACGTAAAAAACAATTCAAGTCACACACAACACATTTTGGCAAAACCAATTTAGTGTGTGCAACCATGAGAAGATGTATAACATTGATCAAGATGATAACATTAGATAACCATAGCATCATGCTCGAGGCAATATTCAAAAAGTGAAAATGTCCAGCCCAACCTGGCAAATAGATTCTTTGGTTCGCTACAGTGATGACCTGATCGTTCAACCGTCACCAAGGTGTACCCCATGCAACAAAAACTAATTACACACCACATACAGGACAAAGGACAAAATCCATGGACACACCCGTCATGATGAGAATGACGAGAAAGATGTGAAAGATGAATAACAAATTGTCGTTTGAGTGATGATGGTGATGGTGGCGGGGAATCCTTAATGTTGAGCGAAAATGAATTGAAAGGAAAGGAATCGAATGCTGTCCAAAAACATCCACTCGGCACGAATGCTGGCCAACGACTGACTGACTGAATGAATGATGAGAAATGAACTTGCATACACAGTTCATTTCGCTCGATGCATTTGCTCTCTCCTCTTCGCTACGTTCATTTTTCTCTCTTCTCGGCGTGTGTGAAGCCTGTTTCGGGCATTTTTCGTTTCATTTGGACACCACACTCACACCGTTGTTATACAGTGTTACAGTGTTGTGTTCAGGGCAGCATTCCATAGTTTGGTCGATCCAAGACTTGATTACAATTTATCTTGGGTCCCGATTTGAATTAGATTGGTCGGTAGATACCCGATTCGCGAATTGAGGTTAATCAGATGCATTTAGGCGGATCATCACATATATTCCATGATTGGGCGTTCGACTGGCATGAACAAAACACACGCAAACACAGGAATCATAATCAAGCAAGCAATGTAAGGCGCCCATTTGGCCAATGTTAATGCATTGTTGATCGAGACGACATTTGCTTGGAAGGAAACGAAATGGAATCAAATGGAATGTTGTAGATGTTGATGGCATGCTATCATTACCATGTTAAACAATGGATGCCATTATCTTATCCAAATGCCTTTATATCTCCTTTCGATTTCGAAAATTCAGCCTAGTCGCCACAACAGTGGCCAGATCGGGAAAATCGAATCAGCTTTTTGTGAAGCGGTGGTCACAGTTCTCACGAGATTTATCTAATGTTCCCGGTGTGCTTACATCACAGAACAATGAAAAACGATGCACAAAAACTCTCATCAGACTTACAGGATGGATGGCAGTAGATAAAGTAATAATTGCGCTTGAGAATCTTTTTTGTCAAGCGAGAGGGGATAAAATGTCCTGAGAGAAAGCACTGTGTGTCCTGTCTGTTTTGTCGTTGTCCTTGTCATCGGCAACGACGAAATCAACGACAACATCGGCAGGGTTGTCCATGGCAATATTTTTAATCATGTTGGATATTTCGGATTCTGCTGCTGCTGCCGTCTATCGATGAAGAATGCGAGCAATATCGGCCATTGTCTAGCTATAATCTGAATGGCTGACGATAGATGTCGGCAGCAGTTTCCCCGAAAAAATAGCGAAAACAAAATCAATAAAATTGTATCAAATGTGGAAGAAAAGCAAACAACATTATAATTGACGGCGTAACAGAAAGTGTCATCGTTATAGTGAAATAGAAAGAGAGCTGTATGGATGATGTATAGTCCTCCTGCTGGAATGGAATGTTTTCCAAGGAATTCTCATTTGCATAAAGTTCGATATAGGAAGACAATGGCCACATTGTTCATGATAATGGCCAGGATGATGTTTGGTTTTTTTGTTCGCTTCCCTCAAATTGATTTCATTTCGAGCCACACTCTTTGCATCGTTGTTCGACATTAGACACGTTCGATTGAATTCGATGAATAGACAGCGAGCGAAGGAAAAGGGTATTGGACCAGCAGCCAGCAGCAGTTACTTGCGTCACGGACATGATTCATACCGACCGAAGAAAAAGAAAAGTGAGAATTTCATTCATTTAAGGCCAACATGATGAGTATGGAATCATTAAAATAACAAATATGGATGATGATAGCCATTATAATGCTCATGTCTAGCTTGATTGTATTTGAATTTGAATTAGAATTGATCATCATCATTATTACTCCACTATAGTGATAATGAATCATTCAAGTAAAAGTTGCTCTACTCTTCTCCGATTCCTATTGATTGCAATGATGGTGATGGTGATCATTGTTTTGTTCATTGGAAAGGAAAATTTTTGTTACTCATAATTTGCATAAAAGGAATTGAATATAATCAACAAAAAGAATCCTATAGAATCCTATCCGACAGTAAGACTGGCAATATGGATGCTTTTGTTGTTGTTGCTTGATTGTATGGTCGTTGTAAGAAAGAAAGCCTCGAGCAATGAAGATAAGATTTATCATCCTCATCAGATTAACAATTAATTGGAAAAGGATAATTCTTTTTTAAAATTTTCAAGTTAGCGGAAGTAATTGTGTGGAACGAATCGAGGTCAATCCCATTCATGACAGTGATGATGATTGAACGGGCAGAGGTGTACGTCGATGACCAGAATGGCAATGAAAAACAAACGAGCGATGAAAAGGTATGTCCACTGATGACGAATGATGATGAATCGATCAACCGACCACCACCATCATCATCATCAATGTTCAATGATAATTTATTCGTTTATTTTCAGCAGAAATCGATGAATGAATGGATGAAGGATGTGCTCATTCATTTTGAATTGATTGCTGCCTTCATTCATTCATTCACTCAGTGATGAATGAGATTTTCTTTTTGATTTTTTTGATCGAACAGGAGCAAAACAAAGCAAAACAGAAAATCTGTCCATTGCTTCATTAACATTTTACATTGTCGGTTACATGCTACTACATTACATTCGATTCGATGATGGTTGGTTAATTGGCTTTTGCTGTATGGCTGTCGGTTGATCAAAAATTCATGATCCATATCCCCCCGTTGATGATGATGATGATGGCCGAAAAAGCCTTAAATCCCGACGACATCGATCTAGGCTGGGTTTGGTCGTAAGCAGAAATGTCATGAAATATTGAACAACATTGGTTATTTTCCATCAGCAGCATGGCACTAATGGCCATCCATTCATTCATTAATTCCATTGCTTTTAATGTTGATGAATTTTACCCTCAATCGAAGCTTCTTTGCCGTCAATCACGATTAGTGTTTTTATTTCTTTTCTTATTATTTTCTTTTTCTCTCCATCACAATGAAAACAACACAGTTTCCCATTGCTGTCATGGGTATTGTCGCCAAGAGAAAAATGATGTCATTTTGGGTGGCCATTCATTCATTCATTGTTGTTACCCAGATGGCCAGATGACCAACTGACCATCAGCACCACTACCGTTGCTTTCAAGATTTTGGCGGTCGACTCTTTTTTTCAGCTCTGAATGAGAATGATGATGAATAATAAGATAATAATGATAATATTGAATAAGCAATTGTCTGTTTAGATGTGATGTTCTAGATATAACCTTTATCCATATTTTTCATCATCGTCGTTGTACATTAGATATGTTTATCATTATTATCATCATCATTCTGCTTCTGGACATTGATTAGGCTGGGTTGGTTGAATGATGAGAGAGAGTCGATCAAAAAGATCTTCATCATCATCATCATCATCATCATCATCTCATTAAGTGATCATCATCAGTGAGCATCCTTTGATAAAAACATTTTGCACTTGATTCTCATCAAGGTTGTTTGTTTGATGTTTGGTGTTTTCGTGATTATCCGATCTGATTGTTCAGAAATTCCGCCGGATATCCGTGTGTTGAAGTGAAGTGATTTTTTGCTTTGTGAAATGCTCAATTCACCTTATGTTCTGTTGATTTGGATGTTGTACATCATCAGCAGCCTGATGGCGTGGATTCAGTGCAGACCAACTACGACCAAAACTAGCAACAGCAGTGATGTGTCATCGTTGGGTCCCAAATCCAAATTCTACCATGCGAATCGTCCATTTTGGAACATAGGTCATATGGTGAACAGTATCAATGAAGTGGATGATAATCTGAATCGTGGTGCGAACGCTATCGAGACTGATGTTTATTTTGCACCAAACGCAACACCCGTTTATACATTTCACGGTTATCCTTGTGATTGTTTTCGTCGTTGTGGTGAACGGGAGCGAATGGATGTTTTCTTGAAACGAATTCGTTCATTAACAACACCGTCCAGTTCAATGTTTGACAAACGATTATTGCTGATCGTATTGGATTTGAAACTGATGCGAATTAGTCATTCAGCAAAGGCATTAGCCGGACAACAACTAGCTTCGGTTATGTTGGAGCATCTTTACAACACCAGCACACGTGATGGATCGCCAAATGGATCCCGATTACGTGCCGTCATATCGATCGGGCATGTATTTGATTATGATTTTGTTCTGGGATTCCATAATGAAATGGAATCCCAAGGACGTGATTGGCTTCTCACCCAGTACATCGGATGGGATGTTGGCATGAATGATCCCTTGTTTGCCATCGAATCGATGTGGAAACGATTGGATATGGTTGTCAACATTTGGCAAGGGGATGGCCGATCCAATTGCATGACACCATTCTACAACCTGGGCCGCCTCACACAGATTGTCAAACGACGTGATAATCCTTCCTTTTTCGCTATCCGAAATTATATCCGCAAAGTTTATCAATGGACCGTAGATCTTACCGTTAACATTCGTACGGCGTTCAGGTAAATTGTTTTGCTGTTTGATTGCACTCGATTAACACCTTTGCTATATTTTGGTGGATCACGTTGAACAGATCGGACGTGGATGCCATTATAACTAATCATCCGGAACGTGTTTATAACGTAATGCGCGAACGTGAATTTGCCCCTCGTTATCGAATGGCCACCTATGATGATTCGCCTTGGGAACGCATATGGACACGTCCATCACGGCCACAAACATCATCAATGTTGACCAAACCAACGCTGGGATTAAAATTGATGAATGGCGCCGGTGATATGCTGGATTCGATGACTCGCTTTATGGCCGATGCTCTTAAATCACAAACTCTATTACGATATCTATTTCTTTCCCAATATCGACAACGATCATCATCATCAACCGACAACTTCTATGACAGTTTGCGAAAAGATCATCCAACGACGATAAATGATGATTCAATCACCACTACCGAACTTGTTATCGTGCGAATCATTCAATTGCTGATGAAATTAATCAGTTTGAAATAATCATCCATTCAACCATTAGATGTGCCGGTTTGGTTTTCGGAAAAAGTCATACAATTCAAATAAGCAAACCAAACCACCATAAAGTAAACATCATTCATTCATTGCTTTATTGTCATTGAAAGAGAGCAATATGAGTGTTGTTTGTAGTGACCCAGAGGCGTTTTGAATGGCATTTGGGCTGCTTTTGTGTTGTTGCTATGTAATATGTTTATTCGCATTTCCTATTCCTGTATAATGATCATGCAAATGTAATGTTTTTCGCTTTGCTTGTTTTTATGAAAACTATATTTATTTATTTATTCAATTTGTGTATGTCTCTTTTATACCCACAACACATCTACACTGCACACTTATTTTTGGCCAAATAAAAAAATTTATTCGGTTTTGGATTTCATCATCAAATTCCAGTTTGCCAGGCTCTCTTTTTATTTCTCTCAGTGAATGACCTTGACTAGGGTAACGATCTGGTCACGAATTTTCCTCGCCACACCATTCACATTGGGTTAGCACGTTCCTCGGAATCAGATCGAGACATGAGATTTGGAGAGAAAAGTTGATCATCCACAATCATAATGATAATTTTGGTTTAGTTTTGTTGTTGTGAACTAGGTTAATTGGCGCCCGATGGAATTTCATTGTGTGTGTGTGTGAGAGACACGTGGGAATCTCAACATAGAATTTTATTTTATTTATCGAAAAGAAGGAATGTGTGCTGGTTACATATAAATTTAAAGTTAATTAGATAATCATTATCATTATTAGGCCATTAGGATCTGGGCGTCATTTCATCACCTAGGATATGGGTTGGTGGCGGTTCATCATTATTGCTGTCATTATGGTCGTTATCATTGTTGTTATCGTGGTCGATTTCGTCGTGGTCGTCGTCATCGACTGTAACGGGAACCAAAGATTTACGAGCTGTATTGGGTACCATTTGATATCCAAGTGGTGGATCCATTTCAGGCAATTCCGAATCTGGTTCCTGTTGGAAACGGCGTTTGACGATAAGAATGGTGCCCACTATAAGGGCTAGAAAAAATATGAATCCAGTGGTAACGGCTACAATGATTATAGCCGTATTGCTGTTACGGCTACCAGTATCGGATACGGCTGACATTGCGAGCAATTGATGATCGTCTCGTTGATAGATGGATGGGTCGGCAATCTGCTCAACATGATCGGTAATGGCCGTCAACATCGAACGTAATAACTATCAAAACAAGCAAAAAACAAAATCAATCGGGGTCAATCGACTTGGTTGGTAATAAAAAATCATCATCAATCAATCAAATGGGCACGACCAATTCACAAACAACCAAAGCAAACCAATCGATCAAATCAAATCTAGTAATCGATGGTTACCATAAGTCCATTATAATGATTATATGGTTGTACGGTTGTTTGCCACAATCTCGAATGATTGACAGATTTCCATGCACACCAAACCAAAAACATACCTGAAAGTGATTGTCGCCATGAACAACGTTCACGCCAAGGCCATTGTTACTCGTAGTTGTTGTTGCTGTGATGGAAATATTTTGTACAATTTCGGCGAAAAATTGATGCGGAAATAAACGTTCGGCAATTCGACCTAACGAAGTGGTTATCTAATATTGGCATGCTAGTGACTTAGATTCGAATCACAACCCTAATAATAACGATAACGTACCGATGACTTGGGAGCAGGATATGATTGTATCATTAATAACAATAACGAATCATTGCATAATGAATAACGCCATTTCTGTCGAAGATGATCGGCAAACTGCTGGGATGATGAATCACTGTACGGGAAAGGGCGTCATCATCATCATCAGTTAGAACGGAAATTCAAACGAAATGAAAAAAAAGAGAAAAAGATATGGTCACATGATGATGATGATTGACGGATATGGATGCTAGAAACTAATGACTGAGCATCATCATTTGCCGAAAACAAACCGGATTCGCATTGACGCCCAATTGAACAGACACACACACATAGCACTTACTTACCCATATTGAGTGTCGTCAATGTTTCGTGCCAGGGCAACTGCCACTTTGATTCCAGCTTCACCCGATGGGCATTTCTCGCAGAAACATTTTGTCGAACGTCGATTTTGTTCGAGAAGGTCACGAATTAGTTGCGCTGAAAAATAAATGAAATTGAATTGATTGCCAGATTCGTTCGCACAAACCTTGATTCGCATCAAGAATCTGATCCGGATCACACAGCAATGAGCTTCTTGGCTGTCGACAACCAAATGGGTCATCCCTTGGATTGGGATATTTATCTTCACTCCAATAAAAACTGACTGGATATGGCGGCAGTGATGATGAGCGATATGATGAAGAAGATGCAGATGATGAAGTTATCATCACTTTGGACGCAACACCAGAAAGTTCATCCGAAACACACCCACTTAACCAAACCGAAAATAACCAAACAAGCGAAACAAATGAGCAAAAAGTGTCGTACTGCATTTTCAATTCAAATAAAAACCCAGAAAAACGGAGAGAAAAAATGTTTGGCTGGAATGATGATTGAGTCTTGCAATCGAGCAACACCACTCAACTCATCTCACTAATCATCACTCGATCGGTCGATAACGGGATAGGCTTGCCGTTATGGCAGCATCCGTCAATAGAATTCTTGGATAAACGTGGTCAGGAAAAAAAGTGGTGATTTTTGCTTTAGTTTAGTTTTTGTTTGTCAATAATTTCACTCATTGCGCGTTTTATCAATTAAGTCGGTGATGATAATATAATTTCCATGACGAATTGATTAAATATTATTATTATTATTTTGACTTGGCTGTCATGGTGATTGTTTATTATCGAGATTTATGATGAGTTTATTTATTGCCATCCAGCAAACAATCGATTGCTCATCATCATCAACGTTGTTTGTGATAGAGTTTAGTTTTGTTTCCATTGAAAAAAGAATTCCGTAGAGATTTCCGGCACGAACAAAGAATAATGTTGTTGTTTGCTTCGTTTTACTATTAGTTTTCATCATCAACTTTTCCGTTTGATTGTAATTAATATCAATTCAATCTAGCCATTCATTCGGGCATCAAATATCAATCGAATGCCAGCGAAAATGGATGGGCGTACAAAAACCACAATCTGGCTCTGGGGTAGCTTGAGGGGCAAACCAGTAGCCCAAACAAGCAACATTGAAAGTGACTGAAAATCAGATAAGAGATAAGAGAAAGGATAGGATTGGGATTAGCATATTGTGTCAACAAACAAGGTGGTTATGTTAGCATTTGTTTGTCTATAGGTGGACAATTGATTTATTCAGCCAGAATCAAATATTCTAAAAAAAACAAAAACATACTAAATGAATTTGTCAAGGAAAGAAGTGTTTGCATTTGGTGAAAAGAGAGAGAGAGATGGAGAATTGCTTGTCTAATTGCTTGGGTGTTTTGTCCGATGGAATAGAAAAGGCGCAAACACCAAATTGGTCGACAAATTGAATTCCTCATCGTCATCATCATCATTTTATCCGACAAACAATGAAAGGAAAATGGAATGAATGTGGCATTTTAGGTGCCATTCTCGAGCAAATCATAAAATCGGGATCCGAATCTAGTGATAAGAATAAAAAAGTAAACCAAAAAGAATACTGCCTTGTTTGATAAGACTTAATCTGTCGGTCGGGAGAAGAAAGAAAGAAAGAAAATTCTTCGAATCGAATCGAGCCCATTTATGACGAAAGTCGAGATGGCTCCATAAAGATTTGGATGCCGACCAACCAACCAACCGATCGGGCCCATTGTTCGCTCGAATGGTTCCCAGTTTCGGTTTGGTGTTTTGGCTGTTTGGCTGTTTGAATGCAATTGCCGGAGATAGCAAACAGTCAGCAGTTTGATTCCTTCGACACAACGACAAGGTAACACACAACTTAACATGACCGAAACGAACATTTTTTTGTCAAATTTTCAATTTGATTGATTAAGTGTGAAGAACAATTATTATTGCAATTTGCTCCCTCTCTCCATCTCTCTCTCTCTCTCTAATGATGGTACAATGACAATTACACAAGGCACAACATCACATAATTTGTTCGTTTCCCCTTTTCGCCCCTCAGAAAGCCCAAGAATAAATTGCATTTTTCTTGCCAGATTCCTTGTGTATGATGCGAGTGAGTTGTTGTGACAACATTTTGCCATTTGCAATCTGGCTGATTCAATTACGGTTGGTGTATGATTGGGGATGTCTTTCTCGTTCTGACATTCGACCGTAGGCCATACATAGATGCATATGGGCTACCTTATCTGATTCCTTATCATTTTCCTTATCTTCTCCAAGAAGTAATTTTCACCTTCGTTAATTTGGTTTGCTCGCAAAAACCAAATGGAGTGGAGGCGCATGGTAACTTTGGCTTGTCGAGAAGTGAGTATGACATGTGCACACAAGGCGGAGATTCGTTCATTGATGACGCCATCGGCCATGCCGAACAACATCGGCAGCTAACGCATTTCTGCCGAATCCGAATCGAACCCGATATTTTTGGAGCTTGCCAATTTCATTTCATTCAGTTAGTCAGTCAGTCGGTCGATTGGACGGTCGTTCGTTTCGTTTTGTGATAACAGTGTTTGTTTGTTGTGTTTCCTTCGCGCCCGAATTGCCAAGTGTCGGCTGTGTCGATATAGGGAACCAAAAGGCGCCCGGCCATTGCGGCCAATATCACTGGTGTATTATGAGTGAATCGATCAGTTTCGACCATATCGACCTGATAAAACACTCCAAGTGAAATCTTTCAAGATGTTCAGTGATGATGATGGCCATCTGTTTAGTGCATCCAACTTTTCAAGACATTTTGTTTGCCAAACAGCCTAAGGCTAGCTGATTGAGTGGAAATAGACACAATTGTGTCATTTTGTGTGTTTTGCATTGAAACAAATTCGTGAAATGTTGAAATGTGATTCTTGATTCCTTCTCCATTCTTCAGATTCTGACTGCAAAATATTCGCTACCAAAAATATTCAACACCAAAACAGCAAATGGAACATGCAGATCATGCCTTGGGGTGTTTTCTCAAACTCGCTATGGTGAAAAGTGTGTTTGTGTTTGCATTCAACAACAACAACAACACTGACACAACAAACATGCAAATGGATTGTGTCCTGAAATAGCAATGTTGTTGTTGTACCGTATCCCATTGAAATGCATGGCACATCATTATTATTATCATCGAGAGTAGGATTCATTCAAATCAATAATGTTAATGGTTCAAATGGTAAGTGCTTATTATTATTTTACTTTACTTTCCGTTTCATTTTCAGTTTGTTTGTCGTCAACAAGTGCAAAACTTTGGTTGCCTGGCAATGAAATTTTTTTAATTAAAAGAGAGAGAGAGGTTTTTTCCAATTGAGATCGATATTGATTGTGGAAGAAATATAGGATAATCTTTTTTGTGTGGGCCATCCATAATAATATTGGCACTGATCAATGATGATGATGATGACGACGACTGAATCAGTGGAAAATGTGTGAATGTCGACCATCTGGCCTGACGATGATCACCATACCGACCAACCAGAATCGATCAATTTTTTCTGGATAGTGTGTGTTGCGAAGAAAGCAAACCAAAAAAATTTCCCATGAGTCTATCACCAATGTGTTTGGGTCATGACGCGATAGACGCTCGCAATAGATACAAGGTGAATCGATCAATCAATTGATTAAGAAGGAAGAATTCCAAAGATGTTCCATCACCAACCAAACACATGGCTTTAAGTAAAATTGAACAAAAAAAAGAAATGAAAAATTGAAATGAAAATGTCTCACTCTCACTCATCATCACCACCATCATGGTGGCTGCCAAGCAAGCCTCCAGGGGATTCTTTCGTCGCTTTTTCTTTTTCTCGATTCAACATCAGCAACCGAATCCACTTTTGTCAAATGAAAGATTGTCAAACCAGCCGAACATGCGTCATTGTTCGCTTGAAGTTTGTTTTTTTGGTTGCCGGAAAAGCACCTTTGAAATCTGTGGCAAGAACGTCTTAATTGAACAATTACGGCGATGACTGCAGAATGTTTGGATTAACAACAAGCAAACGATCAAAGTGAAAGGCATTTGGCCTCCATATCGATTGTTGTTGTCATGTTATGAGGATGATTGGCAGCCGAATAAATAAATAAATAAACATTCTCCATGCAAAGCTTATTCTTAGAAAATCGACATGATCATCATTTCAAAGGAAAAACACGTGTATAGAGTGAGACTGGTGTAGAGTCGATCATTTCATCATATTTTTTGGGCAAAAAATATTTTGATTTTGCTTTGTGTCCAAAATCACCCGAATGAAAGATGTGATGATTGAATGTTATGTTGTGCTATGGGGAGTCATGCAGTGACGATGATGCCTGCCATGATGCATTTTGAGATTTGCCAATAATGTTGGGCTCTGTTTGACGATCGGAATGTGATTATCATTAATGTTGTGAGGATGCATTATGGAATTTTTCATTTTTTCGTGATTGATTCGGGTTTGTTGCTGATGTGATTAATATTCAAATCAAGCATCGAAATTTTTTTCTTTTTTCGCTGGGAATTATGTAATGAAATTGGCTGCATGGAATGAAGCCATCATTGGTATGTCGTCGTTTTCCAATTATACGAATGAGGGGTTAATTATTGGATGCAGCACAAACCGAACTTGTCATCTGCTTTGCTCATCAATTCAGTTCGATTCCAATCGATCTATCATCGTCACATAGACTTTGTGCACGATGACAACCCAGAAAAAAGTTTTTCTTGACGACAGCCAAAACTTTGATGATGATGATGGCTAATTAATCAAAGGGAAACAAGTTTGCAGATCGCGATCCACCACACCTAGCCGGTGTGTGTGTTAACATTTGTCTTCATCATGGTCTTGGACAACCTCACCTGGCCCCAGTGAAAGCCACCATCATTTTGGAATAATCAAAAATCAATGATGTGTGTTGTGAAGAGACCTTGTTTGCAGAACACAACTGGCATCATCATAATGATTATAATCATTAGTGGCTTTAGTCACTGGAAGAATCAATTAGAATGATCATCATTATCATTATGATTGTGACTTTTGCACTAATGAGCGACGACATTATTATTATCGAGTGATCAATAAGTCTTTCCTATATCACTTTAATAATGATCATCATCATCATTGATGAGCGTAATGAGCACCATTCCAAATTCAATCGGTATAGGGTCAATTGGAAATGGTTTTCGAATTGAGTGAAACATATGCATTATGAATAAACAATAATGGCAGTGGGGACCATATTGAATTCTGCAATTCCAATTGCAAACAATAAACAAACAAATATGGGTGCAAGTGCTACTCATTCATACTTATATAACCGTAACCAACTAAAAAAATTACCGGCAACCAATCATGATGATGATGATGATGGTGGGAGCCTAATGACTCTCTCTGTTCAGAAGAGAAGTGAATTGGGCTCCATACTAACCAAACCAAATCAAATGAAGAGAAATGAGCGAAATGAGAAAACGGAGCCCCATTTCGGTTACATAAATAACTGGAAAAAATTATTATTGGGAAATTTGCATTTCGATGAACAACAAACTAAACTTGGCTGGTTCTTTGTTCTTTCCTGTTCCGGTTTTGGGGCTGGCGAGAAATGAGATTTGTTTGTTGGGTGTTTGTTTGGTTAGTTTGTCTGTTTGTGAAATGCGAAAATGATGAATGTTGGCACCATATTGAAAGCACACGGCATCCTTATTTCCCAATCGAAATGGAAGATGTTTTTTGTTGATTCTCTTACTTGGTGCTGCTTGTGTTGTTGCTCTTTTTTCTTTTCGGTTTTCCATTTCCAATTCGATTTTTCGACTTTCGATCCACTCTATTCAAAGTCAGTTTGGCCATTTAAAGAATAAAGAAAGAAAGAGTAAGGCAGCAGCAGGAAACATTTGCTTTTCCTGAATGATTCCAAAAAAATGAAACGAAACAACGAAACGCATTAAGTCAACACAGAGAGAGAATCGGTTATCGTCGTTTTTTCGGAAATATTGTAAACAAAAGTTGTGATTCATTGATAAAGCCTGAATGAACGAAAATAATGATGACAAATATATGCTCAGCAGCAGGCCCAGGTTAAGTTAACCCAGAACTGGAATCGATTTATCATCATCCGTGTCTGATTAGGATAATGATCTAGAGTCGAGACAACTAATCTCTGCACTAATCGGATTCTTACCTGACTTTTTCGACCAAACAAAATTTCTCCGTTTTTCTTTTGACTGCAGCAGAAAAAAGTTGATTGATTTTGCAATTGGAAATTGGAATTGGAAAATTGAAATTCAAAGATGGAAAGATATGGAATCAATTGGACAGCAATGCAGCCAATGATAATGATGATCCCAATGATTAATCAGCTTATCATATTTTCATTTGGTCGGTCCAGCATCCAGCAATGACAATGAATTTTTTCTGATTAAAAAAAAGAATTGCTGAACTGGAAACTGGAATTTCGGAGCAGAAAGAAAATCAGAAATCAGATTGATTTGCTGGAGAGATGAACAACGACAAGCCTAGCAGAGAGATTAGGGATTCTCTATTTGCTTGCTTGTCTGCCTGCCTGTCAATATTTTACCACTCGAATGGACGCACAGAGGACATGACCATGATGATAATCGCCTTTACTTTCCTAACAAGACATCTGCAGCCAACAATCAGAAACAGAATCACAAATCAAATCCCAGATTCCATTTTAATTAAAACTACAAGAGGCGGTTCATCAGCCGACTTGACAGGCCCGACAATTTTAGCCGAGCTTGAGGCTTTGAAGCCAACGATAAGCGAATTCAGTTTGCGCTAAAGACGCAAAAAAAGAGATTCGATGATGATGACAAGGTGTGAACCAAGCATTCCTTGATTGATTGAATGATAAATCAATTAAATCGATGATGATGAGATGATTTGATTTGAATAGGACGTGACTTGGTGACTGAATGAGTGATTTTGGCTAGGCCGTGATGTGATGTGACAAAGCCAGAACAACATGCAACCAAACAATAAGGCAGTTGTCATTTGATCGGATTTAGTGTTGTTGTTTTCTTGCTCTGTCTTCTTCATCTCTAGATTTGATTTCTGAGCTCGGTCGGCAGTTTTTTTTGATTCCATTTCTTGTCTTGTCATGTCAGTGCAGTGCACACAATTCAGTGAATGTAATTGACAAACTACAACCAAATCAACAAAACAAATCCAGTAAATCTAATTCTCTGGCATTCTTTTTCATTTTTCAGAACGCGTCTATGAATTTCATTTGGTTCAGTGCCACAATGGCTCATCACTACTACAACATGAAGCCCTTGCCGCCGTTGATGATGAAAAGTGACAGGCCTATTCAGTGACGACAAACCGTCCCTCCTGTTCGCCTGCCTCGACCCCCGATCATGACGACGATGATGAAAAGATCCAGATTGGTAAAGTTTTCGTCATCACTGCCGCCGACCATTTTCAACATTATGGCCGCTTTGTTATTCACATTGATAGCGGCTGCCCAAACTACTGCAACCACAACCACAACAGACCGATTCACAAATTACGCTTACGACGATAACGATAACGACGACGATTATTATCATCAACAATCATCCATCATCGATGATGCCATCAATCAATCAACATCCATCGATGACAGCCATTCGTTTGGGCCAACAACAAGCCATGATCATCATCAGATCACAAATCAGATCACAGATCAGACCCAGCAGATATCGTTGCGTTATTCATTCTGGCTGACGATATTTATTGCCGTTTGCATAGCACTATGTTCGATCATAACGATAGCCGGCAACGCATTGGTGCTGGTCGCTTTTTGCGTTGAACGTTCGATACGGCAGCCCTCCAATTATTTTATCTGTTCGTTGGCGGTAAGCGATTTGTTTATCGGTGTGATATCAATGCCCTTCTATGCTGTTTACGAACTGATGGGACGATGGGATTTGGGCGCTATCCCGTGTGATCTATGGTTAGCCACCGACCACACCGTATGCTTGGTTTCCATTTATACAGTACTGTCGATAACGATCGATCGTTATTGTTCGGTGAAAATAGCGGCCAAATATCGTTCATGGCGCACCAAACGTAAAGTGCTGTGGTTGATTGCCGTCACATGGATTGTACCGTTCTTGGTGTTTTTCACCTCGATTATGGGATGGGAATATTTCACCGGCAAACGAGAATTGTCACCAGGTGAATGTGCGGTACAATTTTTGAAGAATGCTGTATTCAATACTTCGCTGATAATTGGCTACTTCTACGTTACTATTGTGATATTGATCGTATTGTATATGGGCATTTACCGTACCGCAAGTGAAATGGCCCGCAAATCTGATGCCAAACAAAAAAAAATCCAGCAAAGTTTGGCGCCGATTGTCGTACATCAGGATACTGGCGGCGGTGGTGGCTCGGACAATCGCAACCAACGAACTTCGAAACCATCGAAAAAAGCGGCCAAACAAATGTTCATTCTATTGACGCAGCCAAACCACAGCCCCGAAACGACTCAATCGCAAAGTGATTCAGCCGTTGACCAAACGCAAACGCAAAAACCAGACCAGCAAATCTCACGTGATGAAATCACAATGACAACAACATCATCGAATACTTCTTCAAATGAAACCAAACCGGTGTCGACCTCTGTCGGTGGCAAGCTAATCAAAACTTGTGACTGTCACCATGGCGGCTCGACCAAGAAGAAACTGCGACAACGATCAAGTCATCATTCGCTGGACGAATTCGATGACGAGTATGACTACGATGAGGAATTCGATTATGAAGAAGAAGAACGATCAAGTTCGCCAACATTCGAATCAGATGAATCGGACAATCTTTCCATCAATCGCAACCAACAACAACAACAACAACCGCAACCACGACGAGCAAGACGCAAAAAACTAAAAAGTTTTCTTGGCAAAAATATGCCCATCGAATCGATTGCACCGTTTTCGTCGTTAGCCATGCCAGCTGCCGTCAGCAGCGATAACAAGGCGTCTGCGGAATCTGTGAAGCCGCGAAAATTATCCCGTAATTTCGTCAATCCTTTTCATGCGCATCACCCACATCATTTGTCGCCGACAGTGAGTCGACCATATCGGAATCATCATCATCACCTTTATCCATCGCAATTGACTTCGTTTCAGCAAACACCTGACCTATGTAAAGGTCCTCTGATACCTCGATCACCAATCGTTTCGAATAGCGATAATAACACCACAGCAACCACAACCAACAACAATCATCAATTCCGTCGATTAGTCGAATTGAGTCGAAAGAAAGAGCATAAAGAGTCACTGACAACCACAGACCAAACAACCAATGACAACGATGCCAAAATTGATCTCACCCTTTCCAGGTCAGTGATTTGATTTGATTTGCAAAATTGAAATCCATTTCCCCTATCCACAGCAGCACTACAGCGTCGCTTGAGCCAACGCACACTTTGATAGTGACAGCATCGGGCGGTACTCAATCTACCATGGTGACCACAACGGCTGCTATATCGTTGCGTAGAGCGGGAGAATTTCCGCCACTAGCATCGATGACCAACAATGGATCATCACCAAATGAACATACGCATTTATTGTTGCATCAAACTGGCCAACAGCAACCAACCAAAGCAAAATCGGAACCAGCTCAGCCGTCTACCAAACTGCGAACAGAAGGCGATCCTGAGCCGCCATCGGCCAGCGACCGTCCAGGACGCTTTCGTCGAGCAAAACGAACGAAGAATAGTTTGACCAAAAAACAGCCGAGTGCGATTACGATCACGACCAACGTTAAAAGCCATCGCCGCTATCACCACAATCACCATCATCAACGCGAACAACAACGACAGAAATCTAAATCAGAAAATCGCGCCCGGAAGGCTTTGCGAACAATATCGTTTATTCTGGGCGCTTTCATTCTATGTTGGACACCATATCATATAGTGGCTTTGGTGGAGGGTTTCTGCTCCGGTTGTATAAATCATCATTTTTTCTATTTTACATACTTTCTTTGCTACGCCAATAGGTAAGTTTATGTTGTAGTTGGGTCGAGTATAACATCACTATAATCGGATTTGTTCATGTTTTCGAGAGAAAAATGGAAAAAAGATCACTTGCTTACATCATCATCATCATCATATGATTGATTGATGTGGCCAATCCGATTTTGCCATTTCCATGCAAAATCTAGCTAGAAACAAAGTCTCTAAGAGGATTGCCATAGAAAAACTCTTGTTTTTTCCCTCATTTCATTTTTGCTCATTCAGAATAGCAGAAAGTTTTTCTGGAAATGGAGGGTGAAGTGAATTCTTTTCCAATCCATCACTTATTTTTGTTACTTTTTTGTTTCTATTTTCGGTTGCCGGTTCGACATGATGGTGCACCTGGCCGACTGTGGACAGTCCATTGAATCCGTTTTGTTACGCGATGATGAATCAACAATTCAAAAAAACTTTCATTCGAATATTGAGCGGTGATCTTCATCGAACCTAGTTCATCATCATCATCATCCTCTCCAAACAATTCAACGCTGGTGATCCTGACCCGACTGACTGATTTGGCACACACGGTCCACCAAAATGATATCGCAAACACCCTTATCGTCTCTCTCTTTCTCTCTGACATTCTCTCATTCTTTCCAATTAGCCAATACAGACATTGCATAACACAGACATACCAAAAATAGAGCTTGATTTGAATGCGGAGTAAATGCATGTGTGGGGCGCCATAAAACTGTGGGGTAGCCCTTATCGTTATCTGTGTGTTTGTTAATGTTGTTAATGTTGTTTGATGTATTTATTTATCGAATTATATGATTAAAAAATTATTATTACATACATATAGGATTTGGCTAGCGGGCAATATCAATTAATTGCTTAGGCTTCGGGTTTGTTATTCTTTTGCTTTTTCTTTCCCGATTCGGTAATTGCATTCCATCAGCTGGCTTGGAAATACGGACTAGGTGGGGCCATCTAGTGAGCTGGATGATGGAATGGGAAAGAATTTATAAATAGACATTTGTTTTTATTGGCATCGATTCCATCAGAATGTTGCCAATAGAATTGGACGAATTTCAACCACAAACGAACAACGAATGACAGAAAAAACGTCCGCCACTCGACATTCACCGCACATTCCATTCATTGTGATTGTTTCGAGTTTCAAGATTGAAATTGTGTTTGATTTGAGTTGGATGTGGCGAATGTGACAAGCAAGTAAACAAAACAAACAAACCGAATTCTCAAGTGTTTCGTTCAGCCAACAATGTCCGACGATGAGAAATTTCTTCGTCATAAACATTTGTTTACATTTCTCAATTTCTGGGGTAAGTGGGTTCTGGTTTGGGATCTCATTTTTCAAATTCTTAAATAACGAAAGATGAAAATCAAGATGGAATACTTTCCTGGGAAGATTTCCGTCTGTTAGCCGAAAAATTTGCCAAAATCCAACGTCGAGGACGACAGCCGGAAAAGGAGGTTGTGGAAAGATGGAAATCCATATTCGAAAAATGGTGGAATGAACTGACATCGTATGCCGATTCGAACAAGGTTAGTTGATTGATTGATTCTATGTTATTGTCGATTCAACCTCACCTCATCCAGGACAAATATGTGGAATTTCATGAATGGCTGGATTTTTTCAAACAACTAGGCCGCAATACTAAATCGTTTGCGGAGCTGCCGGAATTTCTGAAAATATATTTGCAACTTTTTTTTCTTTGTTGTGATGCAAACAGTAAGTGTGCGTAGACTGTATTTGGATGATCAATAATTCTTGCAATGCCCACATACAGAAGATGGTCTGTTTTGCGTGAAAGATTACAAAAAATACATCGCCAATTTGAAGATGGATACATCAAAAGCACAGGAACATTTCGACTACATGCTTACCGATGATGATCGAACTAACAATGAAAATGCTCTCAATTCAGATCGATTCAAGGCGACTGTTTACGACTTTTGGGTTTCAATGGATCCAAACAGGTAGGCTTTCTTCATTTCCAGTCACTATGATTGTTGACTCGTTTACTTTACTTTCCCACAGCAAAGGCAAATTCATTTGTGGTCCATTCGATTCGATCCCGGTGGAAGAATTGGAAAAACGAGTCAAGAAAAAACCATGAACCTTACCTTATCATAAATTTTATTCAAAACAAACAAAAATTTTATTAAAATCAAATAAGATAGGATGCTCTATAAAGAAATGGAACAAGTCTACTAAATTGATCTGGTTCAATCGCTTTTGTTGATTTTGATCGAGACCACAAAATAGGTCAGCAAACGTAATACGGCAACAAACAGAAGGAGTATAGCGAAATGACTGTAGAAATAATTTTCATCGACATCGAATTGGTCCAACAATGATGATGCATACTTTTTGCCTAAACTGGGATCAAATGTGCCACCTAAACTTCGTGTGAAGCCATCCAGAAATTTTTCACCGCCCTCACCCAGAATCATCGACGCCATTCCCATCCATTCAGGTTTTTCAGCAGTTTCATTCAAGGCGGCTAGTTGTTGTGGGGTTAATTGACAACGATCCAATCCATAAATGGTCATTATCATCAATTCGAATGCATATCGCAAATAGGAAGTATAGCCGAAAATTTTCAAATAACTCGGGATAGTTGATATGCGAACGAAAAAACCACCAAACAACATTATCGGTACGGTGGTGATTGGCCCAAGGAATACGGCTGCACTAGCATCCGACATGAACAGACCACCAATCAGCAATCCCTGACTCTGAGCGGTGAATGCCATCAGAATATTGATCAAGATGAATAGACCAAAACGTTTGACACTCATTATCTGACCAGTCATCAAATAGCCAATCACTGCGAATGATGTTGGGAAACATATCTACAATGATTAATTGGATGATTATTGCAATGTGAAAGTTTGCTTTGACACTTACCTGGAACGGTATCTCGGCAACGGAGAGCGCCGTATAATAGGCAGCCAAACTATACCAGCCGTTAGTTTTTTCCTTTTTCAAAACATTCAAATTATCAGGAAATGTCATAATGATGGGCATCATTGCACCGAACAATGTGAACATGAGAGTGAAGAATATGAATGACAAGTTTTCAGTAGTGGTAACCAAATCAGATTGATACTTTGTTCGATGTTGGGTAAATTGTTCCAAATCATTCAGTGGGGATACTGTGGGTGGACATAGTGCTGGTTCACCAACTTCAGCGCCGTATAGTACTCCGATAAAGATAGCGGTAGTAACATGCGATAAAAGTCGTAACCAATTCAACATGGGATCGCGGATAATTTGTTTGGAAGTCCGTTGCAACAGAATCCAAATATGCAGAAAAGTCGGGTAATTGATTTGGGATGAATATTGTGATAGACTGCGATCTGCCACAATTAAATCCGGCATTTGAAGATCAATACGCTCTTTTACTTCGATCAATCGTTGTACTTGTTCCTGGCCATGTTCACCCGATGCAACTTCAGCGATAAAATCGGCCGGATTATGAAATTGTGGACAAACAAGATCAACATTGGATAAATACTCGAGCATATGCTGGGGTGATCCCTCATAAATGCAGTAGCCATTGTAGGAAATGATGTAGATGTGGTCGAATAGATTGAAAACTCGAGCCGATGGTTGATGAATCGTACACACCACACCGGTGGGACAATAAGCATCTCTAGTCAAACGTTGCATGACCGATACCGTCTGGAAACAAGCAGAACTATCTAGGCCACTGGTAGGTTCGTCCAAAATCAATATGTTTGGTCTGTTGTTTGGATATGGGTAGAAATGGAGAAAATGGGTGAAAATTGCAATGGTAGCAATGGAATTGAATTTACTTGGATATCATTTCGACACCGATCGAAATGCGTTTTTTCTGACCGCCCGAACAATTAGCGGCCCGTGTATCGGCACAAACATCCAGGCCTAGTCGTTGAATAATATTGACAGCCAATTGATGGTGATAGTTGTCCGATTTATGAGGCAAAATCAATGTGTTTTTCGATCCACTGTTGCCATTGTCGATTTGACCATCACTAACTGTGGTTACCACCGTTGTCAATTGTTGTTCTTCGTCGATTGGCATTTGACGGTCATGATTCTTCAAGCGACTAGCATAAACCAACATTTCACGAACAGTAAACACTTCGATTAGATAATCAGTCTGCGATATGAGTGCCACTCGCAAATTGTCCACATTCGAATCGGATTGGTCGCAAACAACATTGACGTTGCCGGAAAGTCCTTTTTTCCTGAATCCGACGATACATTCCAACATTGTTGATTTTCCAGATCCGGATGGTCCCATGACGGCGGTCAGATGGCCAGTTTGAAACCGACCTGTTATACCTTTTAATATGGTTCGTTTTTGACTGGTCATCGGCGAACAACGACCAGCATGGAAACATTGCGACAGATTCAATTGCTTACGTTCAACCGTATAGATGAGGTTATGCCACATTACCGTTATGGTTTTGCGATTGGAATTTGGATTTGATGAGTGGGAAAACAAATTGGTGGTATGTTTTGAATGGGCTGACTGTTGTGGTTGGCTACTTGCGATCTGGATGTTTATCTGCCGATTTCCACTGGTCACCACCGGTGCATTGCTTGCCATCGACATGGCATCCACATCATTATCATGTTGTTCGGGTTCCATCATTGAATTCATCAATTTGGTTTTCCGTTAGGCCGACAAACGGAGAATGACTGAAGCTATTATGATATTTCCATTTTAAATTTTTTAAATTTTTCAAGGTTAGCCTCCAATCGATAAAATGCCATGGATACCTTTTGTTTTGATCGTGTTGAGGTTGTGTGTGCCATTCGAATGAGAGTGACAATCGATGGTTGTCAGGTTGGTTTAACATTAATGCTTTTATCGTTTTGCAATCATTTCAAAATTGGAATATAATCATGATGACATTGCCATCGGACTCCAGATGGCAGCCGTTACCTCGAAAGGCCATCAATATCGACTTTTTTGGCTAATAGATGGCAGATGGAAAGGTAAATTGATTTTTGCTTCATCAACAAATCGAATTAAGAAATAATCAAATCAACAACAACTTTCTCGTTTTATTTAAGTGGTGATCAACAGTTAGTGATTGTATTATTCTTTGGTTGTGATTTTTTCCGGTATCAGGAATTTGTTTTTTCGATTCGAAACAAAGTAATTTGCAACAAGAAACTAACAAATAACGATGATGTGGCGGCCATGGTTTATTTGGATGATGATGATGATCGCTATATCTGTGTTATCGGTTGATATTGTTGAAAGTAATATTTGGGGCTACCCCAGAGTGGTGCAAGTAATCGAACCAAAAGAAGATGCGGAAGCGAAAGCCAAATCTGCTGAAAAAGTTATTGTGGGCGTAGCGGCTGCTGGTAGTATTTTTGGTTCGATTGCAGCCTGCTTTATTATGGAACCAGGTGATATAAAACGAACTGTGGTGGCTAGTGGTGCAGGCTGTGGAGCATGTTTGGGTGTTTGGTGGACTAAACTAGTTTTATAGTTAGTTTTGTTTTTCTCTAATTGATTAAAAAAAACTTTTATCTAAACCAAATTCAATCTGTTGCAAGTCTGAGTTATCAAATTATTTCAAATGCAATGCCATCCGCACGCAACCGATTTTGATAATTGCCATATGCGAATCAAATCAAAAAGTTGATTCTATTGTTGTATGATGAATGGATAATTGAATTGTTTGAAATGGAATTATAACTCAAAATCAAATCAAATAATAATGAACAACAAAACAAAGCGAAAACATTGAAAAGGTGCAATTCTGCTGAAGAAAACAATTTGTTTTATTTTGCATAATCGTGTGGTTGGAAAATGCTATCATCACTTGGCTATTTAATTATTCTGGCGATTGTGATTGAATCGTCAACTGTAGTGGCAACCAATTCAACAACAAAAGATGTAAGCATGCAATTTAGTTTTGCTTGAAAGTATTTTATCTTTTTTGTTTGTCCAAAGGAAATCTGCGAAAGATTGCGCCAAAATGATGGTGCCCATCTGAATATATTGGCGGTGGGAAAAACGAAAAAGCGATTATTATTGATAACAAGTGATTTCTATGTCTATGATACACCGCTTGAATCATTGGATTTGGCCATAAATAAATTATATCTCAAAACACAACCAATGAAAATGTCGGAAAAATATTCTCATCTTTATCAAGATCCACAATTTGAACGTATTAAAGATGTGATATCCATTGCATGGATTATGAATGATCCGGATAGTGATTGGATTTGTTTAACACCACGGTATACAACTGGTTTAAGAGGTGTTAATTATGATATTGATAATTCCGAAGTGAGATGGGGATGGAAATATTTTAGTGATAGTGATAATCCAATAGTATTGCTATCAACAAATCGACCATGTCAATATTATTCATTACGGTTTCATGATGGTCTTTTAATGAATCGTTGGCATTGTATTGATGGTGATCGTGTTCGTACAACTAGTGGAATAATACAGAAATATAGAACTGATTCGATTTTATGTTCAGATTCGAGAGATAGTGGCAATATTACTGCCCAAAGATTAGTTAAAGATGAACAAGGAAATGTCATAATCAGATGTCATCGAGGCAATCCAGTCAATTGGCCAATAGTAAAGGGATTTGTTACCGATGATAAATTTTATCTATTTGGTCGTTCAAATATCTATATATTTAGTGAAGATGTTTATCATAATCAAGGTAAAGAATATCCGGTGGAAAAACGTAGTTATGATTCCTTTTTTAATTGTGCCGGTATTATTCCACCAAGTGCTCTTTCCAAATCCTGTAAGTCATGTGATAAATTAGTTTGTTGTTGAGATGAATGAATTTTGTTTCCTATTCAAGATTTTTATCTGATAATGGGGGCAATCATACTGTTATTGTTGATATTGATGATAATATTATGGTGTATATTGGTCACTCGTCGTCGTCATCGTCGTCCAGCAATGGTGTCATTGATACATGGAAAAACCACACGTTCAGGACTGAGTGACGTATTGAATATGGCAAAAGTGTCAACAAATATGGCAAAAGTGTCAACAAATATGGCAAAAGTATCAACAAATATGGCCACTACAAGAAGTAAAAGTATGACACAACAAACCATCCAATCTATTTCGAGGGTAAGCAGTCATCCAAATCGACCATCAACCTTATCGGGTGGATTATCGGGTGGATCAGCGCACGTAACGGCTCGCACTGGCCTTGATCTTAAAGCCAATAGCGAAAAGATCGGAACTAGCCCCAGTAAACCTAATCAATTGAAACGTTTAACAATCATACCAAGCAGTCGTCATGGTGGATCGAGCACAGCATGAACAATTCATTTGATTTGTAATTTTGCTTTTAGTAAATAATTAAAATAAAGAAGCATTCTAATAACTAATTATCATTTTATTATTTAAAGTTATCCATATTATGAAAAATGTCGTATTAAAAGTGACCAATACAAAGAGTTTGAAAGAAAAATCAATTATAAAAATCAAAAAAAATATTCAAAAAATGATCATCAATTAGATCTTGTTGATCTTGTTCTCAATGACAACAAGTTGGATGCTTTTCTGGACAACCCAGTGCCAAATGCTTGAATCGTTGTCAATTACAACATTGACTAACATTGAGTGGAATGTCGACCGTATGAATTTGACCACCATTCATAAAGGTTTTGCCATTTTGATCATTCATAATAACATTACGAATCAACGGATCGACTTTAAGACCAACATTTATCAAATGATTTCGACGATTGGCACGTTGGAAAATCACTTTGATAGCTTTGTTGCTTGTTTCCTCATTGGTGCTGGTAATTTCATGATAGGTATTGGTTAAACATTTTCGAATTAGTGGATTATGTTGAAATATTAATAATGGAAGAGAATCTAAATTGATATCTTTATTTAAGCCCTTCAACATGATGAATGGATTTATCATATTGATGGCATGTTCATTTGACAATGACAATGGTGGTGGTGCAACACAATGATTTTTCAATTCCGCTATGATATTTTCGCTGTGTGATTTCAACAATTTGCCAATTATATCTTCCATTTTGGAAATTAAGGTTTCGTTGTTATTGAAAGACAAGCATTGATTAAGATTACCATCAATAAAAAATTGAATATTATCATCATTGATCAAACCATTTTCACAATAATATTTAATTTCATTTTGCAAACTTTTTACAGTATCCAAACATCGTTTTCCGATCTCAAAATATTCGTGGAGTTTCAATTTATGGTCAGGTTCGATATCTAGAGGCATTATCTTAGCCTCAGTTTCGGTGACGAATTGCAAGATCGAATCGACTGGCCAATTCATCGGTGATTCTTCCAAATTTATGGTTAGAGAGCTTTTCCTGGCTTTCTTTTTAGGAGGAAGCACAGGAGAATCAGGACTACTCTCATCAAATGGCATACCGGATGAAGACATCTGTGACGAATCCAAGATAATAATGGTAAAATCAACGAGGCAAATAGCAATCACTATGATTAAAATACCTTTGATGATGCAATTTTGTAATGTTTAAAAATGAGTCACTAACAAGAGTTGAGAAAAAGCAAGTCAACACTCATCAACAGTCATCGAAGGAATGAAATAAAAATGCAAGACAAATGGAAAATGCAATCAATTCGAAAACGGTAAAAGTACAAAACAAAAAGCATTCATCTGAATTGGGGACTAGTTTTTTTTCAGAGTGGTGTGATGCGCAACGATACGTGAATGAATGTTGGATGAACAACAAGCTTACAAAGAATCTGTATTGATGAAAGTTATCATTGCAAGTGTCTTTAGAATGGATTCATCACAGAATAATGGGCTTTATTTTTCCTGACAAGATATTTGATAATTATAAATGTTACACTAAAAGTTTTCAACAAAATTCTTCGGATGATGAAACCTTGCAGGATTTCTGACCGTCGTTTATGAACAACGTCAAAAAGCTCAGCGTTGAAAAGAGCATGTTGAAAAGG